GATTAATATTTATTAATTTACATTGACTTCGAACTTATAAAATGCAATTTCTCTCATTATGTTAACATATATAATATTAATGATGGTAAATAACATTTATCGATTAGTATTTTAAAAATATATTTATTGATTTGTACTTTGAAATTTGTATTACATGTTTAAGTCCCAAAATATATATGCACAATTTTATAAAAGTGTAATCATTACAATTTTTAATTAACTAAATTACAATTTTGTTATTCGTAATTGAGAGATTAATGAATTCTTATCTCATAATTAGGAGTAAAACTGAAAAATAGACATTACTTTTTGAAAGTGACACTTACTTTGGGACAAACTAAAATAAAAAAAGTGACACTTATTTTGGGACGGATAGAGTATTTGTTTTGTTATTTGTAGACATCGTTCATCTTATAACAATGAATTATTCTCTATAGTAATTATATGTATTAATGATCGGTTAATATCTTTTTATATTAGTTATGGACTAAGTTTCTGTTTACCACATTTCTTGTATATATAATTAGTTATCATGTGATTTAGACGTACACTTATTTATTTTCTTAATGAAAATCAACAGAAGTATCATCCTCTTTTAAAAAAAAAACTTAATCATCAATCAGACAAACAAAGCATAGATTATCCAAACCTCCTGTCGTTATTATTACTTATTTTATTTAATTTTACAACTTTATTTCTAAATATATATATATATATATATACTAGAAGGGTACTGCGCAATACAGCGATATAAATCTTTATTTTAATGTTTAGTTTTTATTATTTGTCTTTATTGATATAATACGATTTTATGTGGTTTTAAAAAAACGATAATATTTTTATTTTTGAATGAAATATAAATTTGAAGATATCATAAAAAATTTAAAAATAATAAAATCGATATTAGTTTTAAATTAACTATTTAATAGTTTTCATTTTTTTTGGTGTAACTTCTTTAATTCAATTTTTTATTATAATTTAATTTAGGTCTAATAACAAATTAATTTATTTTTGATTTAATAATATAATTTTCTATATTTAAAATAGATGTTTATTCTGTATTTGATTATATTTATCTACAGTTAGTTATACGAATTTAAAAATGAAGCTTTAATAAGTTGTACTTAAGCAAAAATCACTTGTAATATTGAATTTTAAGTAATATGCATCAATAAATAGTACTAAAAACATTGTTTTTAAGAGTTTTTATCAAATGTTTTATAATATAGTGTGTGTGTGTGTGTATATATATATATATATATATGTATATATGTGTGTGTGGAGGTTCAAACGAGAACACATTCATTTTACGAGAACGCGATAACACCCTTATCACATGTGATAATACGTGTGAGGGGACCTGGTGGTATGCGGAAGACGTGTTCTATGACTTAGACCGTGCCAAACGTTGTCTGCGTCTATGATTTAGYATCACATGTGATGGTYTTGATRGATTATAGTATCATATCAACAACGCTCTTATCACATGTGATAATACGTGTGAGGGGACCTGGTGGTATGCGGAAGACGTGTTCTATGACTTAGGTCACGTCTATGATTTAGTATCACATGTGATGGTTTTGATAGATTATAGTATCATATCAACAACGCTCTTATCACATGTGATAATACATGTGAGGGGGCTTAGTGGTGTAAGGGCAACTTGGCAGTTGGCACGCAACCAAAATCGTGCCGAAAATTGATCGCGTCTCTGACTTAATATCATATGTGTATCATATGTGATGGAATAATAGTATCACACGTGATTGTCTATTATAAAATAGTGTTCTTGCGTTCTTGTAAAATGAATGTGTTTTCGTTTGAACCATTTCCCTGTTATATGTATATTAAATTTCACTAATTAGATTTTATTAACTTTTTTAAATTATTTAAATACTATTTGTTGATAATTCTATTAACAACTAACATATATTTATATAGACTATCTTTAGATCATTAACTAAAGTACTCATGCTACCGTCTAAGATGCGGTTCCCACAATAGTATGATTAGAGGTTAACTATCGTATGAGAAGTAGAGTTAAGGTAAGAATTGTAAGAAAGAATCTGGACCATCGATCATCTTTAATCTCAAATCCATCCATGTATTGCGCTTGATACGTGATTGATTCGCATTTCCGTGCATCTCATCATAATATACATCCAATGATGAAAATCTCTTTTTACAGTTATCTACTTAACTCTCATTCTTACCCGTATCCAACTCTATAATTAGACAAGATAAATGATCATATTTATTTTATTTTAATAATGTTATTGTTTAAACGTGTTTTTTATATAGGGGGTGTTTGAGATTGTTTATTTGAAACAACTTTTACTTTTCTATAAAAGTCCTTATCAACTTATTTAATTTTTTTAAAAACTTCTTATTTCTGGTTTGACACCGGTATAAGCTGTTTATCCAAACACAAAAAAATGCTTATTACCGGTGTCATACCGAAATAAGTCAATAAGTTGTTTTTATAAGCAATTTCAAACACCCCTTAGTTAAAAACATATTTCATATCAATAAACATAAATCCAAATTCACTATTAAAACATACCAAATATAAAGTATATGAGAATTTTTCTAAAAAATAAATAGAAAATCTAAAATTATAATCAAATATTCCAAAAAAGAAAAGAAAATATAATAAAAAATAAAAGAATAAACCCAAAGGTCAACAAAATCCCCCATAAAAAGAAAATTGAAATACAAAGAATTCATCATTCTTCTGCCCACTTCTCTCTCTCTCTCTCTCTCTCTCTCTCTCTCTGTGCAAGAAATTCAATGAATGCCCGCCAACAACAACAAAACAAGAGCAATCACCAAATGCACATACAAATACAATCAACCTCATAAAAACCGATTACTTTTCCTTCTTCCAGATCTTCAAAAATGGCAAGTAAATGGAAAAAAGTGAAGATGGCTTTGGGTTCTAATCTGTGTGTTTATGTGCCTACGCCGGATGAAGACGTCTCGCCACCGCAATCCGAGAGGTGTTCCGACGTTGCTTTGTTATCTCCGGCCACCGATCAATGGACTCGCGGAGGTTCTGCTTCTCTCCCCTGGTCTTCAGCCTTACGCCTCTCCAGATCCTTCAACAGATCTTCCAAGGTTTTTTTTTTCAATTTTATTTTCTCATGCTTTAATTCTTGGAATTTACATTTATATTTATTGTTTTATATTTTTTTTAAGAAGTAAATAAAAACATTGATATATGTCTGAATTTTGAAGTTTTATTTCATTTCTTATTGATAAGATGTACTGAAATTATTAGAATAGTGTGTTTTTGTATATGTTTAAATTTATTATTTATTTTATTTATTAAAAACCTATAATGTTAAATTATAGATAAATTTATACAAATTCACATATTTATTTAATTATCTTTATAAAAATTTACATATAAATTATATAATAATGAAAAAGTTATTGGTGGCCTCGTTTGTTGACTAAAAATCTTTGACCTTATTAATCAAGTTGCATAAGGAAACTTTGTTTCAATTTTGACTTTCATGTCACCTTATTAATATTAGTTTTAATTTTGACTTTTTAGAAATGCACCATATGTTTAGCCTCGATGAAACGAGGCGAAGGTCAAGCCATTTTCACGGCCGAGTGTTCCCATTCCTTCCATTTTCAGTGTATTGCTTCAAATGTGAAACACGGCAACCAAATCTGTCCAGTTTGCCGAGCCAAATGGAAACAAGTTCCGTTGCAATTGGATCCTTCTTTAGGAAGAACAAGAATCAACTCCGGGAATTGGTCGCAAGATAATCCGGTGATGACCGTAATCCGCCAGTTTCCGTCACGACAAAACTCCAATCGCCGTGTCTCCGCCCCCGTTTTCCCTCCCAACGAGCCTGCCATCTTCAACGATGATGAACCCTTGGATGTTCAAACTTCAAACAGTAATACATCCGATGGATCGTCTTTTGAACGGGTAATGATAAAAACGTACACCGAGGTTCCAGGCGTGGCCCGGTTGACCGCTGTGGATGATTTTACTGTTTTGATCCACCTCAAAGCTCCGGTTTCGAATTCCGGTCCTACGGTGAGCCAGGCTAACCGGATCCCACGAGCCCCAGTTGATCTGGTCACGGTTCTTGACATCAGTGGAAGCATGGCTGGCACAAAACTCGCCTTGCTTAAACGGGCCATGGGTTTTGTCATACAGAATCTTGGACCAGCGGATCGGCTGGCAGTGATCGCCTTCTCTTCCACCGCCCGCCGCCTCTTCTCGCTTCGGAAAATGTCAGATATGGGAAAGCAACACGCCCTTCAAGCTGTCAATTCACTGGTGGCAAATGGTGGCACTAATATCGCCGAAGGTCTGAGAAAGGGCGGCAAAGTGATGGAAGACCGCCGGGAGAAAAACCCCGTTTCGAGTGTAATACTGTTATCAGACGGGCAGGATACTTATACCGTGACTAGCGGTCCAAACCCTGGTGGAGGCCAAAACCGGTCAAACTACCAGTTACTCCTTCCCCAATCTATCCATGGTGGTGAAGGTGGTTCCGGAATCAAGATTCCGGTCCATGCTTTCGGGTTCGGATCGGACCACGATGCTTCGTCGATGCACTCGATCTCCGAAATATCTGGTGGGACGTTTTCGTTCATCGAGACCGAAAGCGTGATTCAAGATGCGTTTGCACAGTGCATCGGTGGACTTTTGAGTGTCGTGGTCAAAGGTCTACAAGTGATTGTCGAGAGTTCGAACCCAAACGTTCGGCTTCGATCTTTAAAGGCCGGTAGCTACAAGAATCACTTGATGCCTGATAGGAAATCCGGATGCATCGATGTCGGAGATCTGTATGCCGATGAAGAGAGGGATTTTCTGGTCTCGGTTAACATCCCAACAGAATCGGTTTCTCACAAGGAGACTTCTTTATTGAAGGTGAATTGTTATTATAACGATCCGCTAACAAAAGAGACCGTGAAGCTCGTAAGTGAAGAAATTACGATCAAAAGACCGCAAAATGTTGGGAAAGAAACGGTCATCTCAATCGAAGTTGACCGACAACGGAACCGGTTGCAATCGGCCGAAGCAATGATGGAAGCAAAAACCGTAGCCGAAGAGGGTGATCTGGCACGAGCAGTTTTGATCCTCGAGAAGTTCCGGAAGGTTCTTTCAGAAACCATATCGGCCAAATCTGGGGACCGTTTGTGCATGGCGCTGGATGCGGAGTTGAAGGAAATGCAAGAGCGGATGGCTAGCCGACATGTTTACGAAGCATCTGGAAGGGCTTATATATTATCGGGGCTAAGCTCGCACTCTTGGCAACGAGCCACGGCTCGCGGAGACTCGACCGAGGGTTCGAGCCTGGTTCAATCCTATCAGACTCCATCGATGACCGAGATGCTAAGTCGATCCCAGGCTCAACTAATTATCCCTGCATCACAACCAAGACCAAGGTGAAGATTAGGTTTTTGAAAATTTTGGTGTAAAGAAAAGGTAATGAAAATGGTGATGTACAAAATGGCTGTTTTTGGGGTATATGTTTGGTTTTGTTGTTATGTAACATACTTGCAATCTTTCTTATTCATTGATGATTAAAATTGAGATGTTTATTATTATTATTATTATTATTTGTTTATATAAAAGAAGGAAAAATAAATTGAATGATGAATAAAATATAGCATAATGGAAAGTTAGGGGTTGTTTACCAAACGCTTATCCGGGTAAGTGATTACCAAGTCACGTTATCTCACCGGATGAATATGGTAAGGACCAAGAATCTTACCCGGTAAGAATGAGACAAGGACCAAGAGTCTTACCCGGTAAGTGAGGGCGACGACTCTTACCACAGTAAGCGCTTACCGGGTAAATTGTTGCATATGATATCATTTTAATTGACTAAAATCTTACCCGATAAATAAATGATAGAATTAGATTTTACCAATAAACACTTAACGGGTAAGTGTTTGATAAACGAGACCTTAGTTGATTGAGTTAAGGATGAGGATTTTGTGTTGACACATCATACTCATGCCCAACTTTTTCTGTTACTTTTTCATTTTCATCACAAATTATGCCTAAAAGATGCATATTTTTGTTTAATTGTAATTTTGAAAATATATATAGTTTTAAAAGGGGTTGCTAATTCATATCCCTTCTTTCATATACGTCTTGTTCTTACCATTCCTATCTCACTTACATACTTAGTATCAGCTAACAATAGAATTCATCTTAAAAAGTCTACGTTAAAGGTGCATTTAGTATGCAGACTGCATGAGACAAAAATAAATAATACCATGTTTGGTATACCATAGGACAAAAATAAGGCTGGATAACATGGAACATAACCTTGATTTCATGGGATAAAACTTAAAGAAATTGTTCCATCAAAATAGGTTGAACAACATGGGACTACATAACAAGATTACAAAATTACAATGTTACCCTTTTTTTACACATTCTATAACTAAACCTAGGGGTTATTTGGGATTGCTTATTTAAAACAACTTATGTTTTTTTGTAAAAGTGTTTATTAACTTACGTGAAGTCAAACCGGAGTTTTATAAAAAATGTTTGGATTAGTTTATGACGGTACCAAAACATAATAAATTGATACGTTGTTTTTTAATGTTTGACAATTTTGCTTATACGCGTAAAATGACAAAAAAAAAAATACATTCCCCATCACCCTTAACCTCCACGGATGATTTCCTGGGCATTCATCGACATTTGGATTAGCATCCTTCCGTAACCCTATTTGCAAAACCTAAACCCCAATCGACAAACTTCATAAACCCTATCTCCATCTCTCAGTTTTTCATCTCCAATTGATATCGTAACCTTATCTTTTTTAACCTCCATAGATGATTTTCTGCGTATTCATCAACCAGAGCATCCTTCTGATTATCTCCATCTTTTGCAAATAAGGAATTAAGAAGTGGATCGATACCGATTTTGTACATAAATCATATTTGTTTTGATCAATCAATCACTGTCTTCGCTGATTTCTACTGAGTGTGCTGCTATTACCACTGTGTGCGTTCTTGGTGTGTATGTGTGTGTGTGTGAGAGAGAGAGAGAGAGAGAGAGAGATTCCCATTTATGGAGATGATGCAGATGGTGAAACAAGCAAGAACACATGGAATGAGACGAATGTGATTGATGAGAAGTATTAGCTTTAGGGTTAAAAAAATAATTTGATTTTTAAAGCTGATATGTTGTTTCTGATAAGTCAGAAAAGAGTAATTTATCAAAAAAAAAATATTACCAGTTTAACACTAGTATAAACTTTTTTTTTCTTCTCGTCCAAACACTAAAATACTGTAACACACCGTAGTAAGTTAACCAAACACCCCCTAATCAAAATCGACACCTCCACCACTCTCGGCTTCTTTCAGATTCGTTCATCGACTTCTCCTACCAGATTATTTGTCGACTTCTCCTTCCAGATTCTTCATCGACTTCTTCCAGGATTCTTCATCGACTTCCTCTCAATTTCTCTATTAAGTCTTCGATTTCTCAAGTACGATGTCTTGGGTTTTGTATTAGATTTTCGATTAGGTTTCATCTTGTTGATTCCATGGTTTTTGAGTTCCAGAGTTGTCGATTCCATTATGGTTCGTCTTGTCTATTTCATGATCCTGCCCTGTAACCGACCATAATCTAAATTAGGAGGGGAAAAAATAGTACTAATGCTTTCAATTCCATGGTTTTCTAGTTCATATATAAATGCTTTCAATTCCATGGTTTTCTAGTTCATATATAAATGTTTTCGATTCCATGGTTTCTAGTTCGTCTTCCATGGTTTTCATATATAAAGGCTTTATGGATTTTGTACTGATGGATCGAAATCACTTGATTGTACTCGTTAATATATGAAATATTTACATTCAAATGTTCGTGTATTTGTTTTGCCTTACAATTTGGTTAATTGAATTGAAGAACAGAAATAATGAAAGAGAGATCAACTGAGATACAACGTATTACGCACGAAAGTGACGTAAAACTTTAGCAATTTTGTGTGATTTGTTTAAAACTCGTGGTGGATTATTAGATGATGGTAACATGACAATTAATGAGCAAGTTGCTATATTTATAAACATATTAGCACACCACAATAGTACCATCCAAGTTAAATTCTATAGGTCAGGGAATTGAAAGAATAAGTGCTTTATTGCATTTGGAAGGCGTGTTGCTAGTCAAACCAACTTTTATAGAAGATGATTGTACGGATTCACGATGAAAATGGTTTAAGGTAATTATTGTAATACTTTTTATGCAATACATAATCGAAACCACCACCTCTTGCACTTCTCCACCGGTGTGGCTTGATGCCACATTAGACATGTTATCAAACTTTACGAACTGTGCCATTTGAGCAGCTGCCAAATGGGCATAGCAGATCGGAGCAACTACACAAGAACAAAATAAACAACAAAAAAGTCATCCAACAAAAGTTACCCATCGAAACCAAGGACTGTTTTGTAAATTCACAAGTCCTAAATCATATTTTCAAGAGTCAACTCAGTTAAGCATATATATACTACCTACAAATATGGCAGTTTTGCTCCTTTGGTACTTGCATTATCCATGATCCCAAATTGATCACTCTATATCGAAAACCATCAACTATTTGTTATAAAAAACATTCTTTAAAACTTTACAACTTATACGTAGGATAGCGAATGAACAAACTCTTGCAAATTATCGGTCTAAAAGTCAATCTGATCCATAGGTACATGGTAATGCGTAGGCCTAGTAGTACCCTAAAACCAACAAAAATCGAGTTAGTTACTACTCGCAATCAAAAATATGTACAAAAGCTTCCATGGAACTCATAATCGGTCCATTCTGAGCACACAAGTAGAAGCCATTATTCTTCAGATGACACACTTTACTGTCGATGATTGTTCTTGAAACGGGAAAAAAGTTATGTTCATTTTCCTCATTCCAAATCATTAATCTTCAAGAATCGGATTTTAGTTGCAACTTTTATTAACGGAAAACATCGATCATAAGTTTGGATTTCATAATAGATCGCCATAAACTTTGGATTCACTCGCCATCCAAAAACTTGCAGGCCTACATCAAATTATATATAAGTCTAAATGACTTTAATTTCAACTTTTATCAACGAAAAAACATTGATCAAAATAGTCAGATGGTGAAGGTCTTTTCTGGCGGCAAATTTTGTTGTGACCTTAAATTCACGCTCCTATCTGTAACAACAATTACATAAGATAATGCTTTTGAAAAGACCTAAAATAACAAGATATTGGAAAATAAATTATACCCATTGTTCTCGGCGGTTTCAACGACTCCTTATAATCAAAAGGCAAAGCCCCTGCACTTTTCTTTCCATCATATGTCAGCAACAAATTTCCGAGGTGTGAATATGACTTAATAAGAAAATTCATGATCTCTCTACATTTAATCTTTAAAGTGACCTCAAGAACAATCGTCACATAAAACCAATATTATAATTATGAAATACAAAATACAAAATTATTAAAGCAAACAACTAAAGTTTCAAAATCCATCACTTTCCATTTTATATGAACACTTAGAACAAAAGGGGTTTTCAGATTGCTTGAAAAATCTAACATGACCAAAATTAGGTCAATTCTGACTTGAGAAATTCGAACTCTAGATATTGAAAATGAAGAAAACTTCTAAATCAAGGTTCACAGGGGAAAAAAAACACAAACGTAAACCCTAACTCAAGAAGGACTGGAATCAACACGCGAAATCCATCTATCTTTGTACACCTGTTGATTGGTCATGAGAGGTGCCAAAACTGCTGTAGCATCTAAGGTGGCGTTGCCAGTAACTGTTGGATCCGGATCTACATTGAGCGTATTTCTACGACATTTGAGAATTTAGGGTGGAGGGAGGGATTAACGATCCATGCATCATTTTGAACATCATCAAACATGTTTTGAGGGAGAGGGATAGAAATCAGGGTGGTTTTGGAGATTAATTGAGGTTAAAAAATAAAAAATAAAAAATAAAAAATAATAATTGAACGTGGGGGGTAGATGTAATCCCAAAATAAATAATTTAAAGGGTTGAGATTTAATATTAAGTTTGATTTTAAAAGGCTAAGATTTAAATGACAGGTTTTTGACTCACTGTGGTCAATATTATATATATAATCTCAAATCCACCCTTGAATCGTGCTTGATACGGGGATGGATTTAGTGCATCGCATCCTAGTGTGCATCTAATGGTGAAGATCCCTTCTTATGTTTTTCACCTTAATTCTCCTTCTCACTGTAACGCAACCCTAATCTCTCTATACACAGACACACACATATATGGTTGGGCTCCGGTAAGAAGGAAAATTATGGTGAGAAAGGATCTCCATCACTGGATCGATCATAATTGAAGATCAACACTAATGAGATGCACCGAGATGCATTGGATCAATTCCCGTGAGAAGTGCAATTCATGGGTGGGAGTGAGATTAAAAGTGATCAATGGTTCATATTATTTCTTACGCTTCTCATCTTAACTCTTTCTCTCATATGATACTCTGCTTATATATATATATATATATATATATATAATTATAAAAACTTAATATTATATAATATTTGTTTATAGTGGC